TAACTGAAATTTTGCGTTTTCCTAAATCATGAACATTGATAAAAAACTCAGTTGGGTGAACAGCACCTACGATCACAAATACTTTATATCACATTGCAGCTATTACAGATCTCTCAAAATATTTTACATTCGTCACTATGTCACAAGTACAATATTTATTATACCTGCCACTAGATTCTGTCATTTAGTGGACAGGTATCATTCTATTACAATTTTAAAAAATTTTTACAACTTGAAGATAATCGATTTCATTTGAAATCCTATGTATTTTCTGCTTTTAAAAGCACGCTAACAAGGAGTTCACATGCTTCATCAGACTGCCTTTATCTTAGAGAACCAACAGAGCAAACTGGAGAGCATGAGAAGAATTAGGCGGTGAGTCTCCAGCATCGACAGCAGAACAAATTATTGAAATGAAATTATGGAGCACTTTACAATGTACTTTCATTTTCCTTAACTGTATGATATTAATTCAAAATTTTAACAATTTATTCAATTCTTCTAAAAAATAACTTTTTTTTTTTTTTTAATGGAAGACTGTTAACCTAGGAAAGGCACCTAAACGAAGAGCAAGAGTCCCATCTATGCCACCGAAATGGTTCTCACCTACTGTCTTTTTTAGCCCGGCATCTCCCTTTTGGGGAAGTGCATTTTCTCTGCCCGGTGGACTGCCACTCACCCACTAGAGAAGTGGACAAATGGCCCAGGACATTTCCTTGCACCCAGCAACTGGCTCATGTGTGAAAATCCTAACCCAAGCAGAGCCAATCTTTTAGGAAATGACGTTAGTCCTTAAAGAGAGGATCCATCTCTTTCTTTCCCAAAACTGTAAAACAAAAGGACCACTTAAACCTGGAATAGCTAAGGGATACCTCTGCCACTACACAGAAAAAAATCTCTCTGAAAATAAAGCCAAACAGAAAAGCAGAGTCGATCCGGCCATACCAAAAGCCTTCATTAACTCAGTTGAATAAACCACTAAATTCCTTTTTCTGCTTCCATCCATTTGAGCTGGGTTCCTTTCTCCTGCAGTGGAAAGAACGCTGAAAAATACGTAAGAATTTAGGTCATATCTGTTCCCCTCTAATGTTATATGGACATTATATGCAGCCAGTCTGCTGGCTAGAAATTCTACCTCTCCTACTACATGCTAGTTATGGGACCTCTCCGTTTCCTCATCTGTAAAATGCAGATATTAGGACCTACCTCACAGGGCTGTTGGGAGAATTAAATGCCATCACATGCGCAAATGCTCAACGTAAACAGCAAATGTGGACATTTTGATCATAAAGACCTCGATTAAGATCATGTTAGATTCTACATTTAGATAAGGGGGAAATATTCCATAAATCCAAAGAAATCTGTTACAAGTTCAGAAGAACAGAGGCTGATCATCATCAGAGCTAATCAAGGTAGCCCACTGCTCACAGGACGGATTCATCGTGATGTTTCCTGCCTTCTTTAGCCAAGAGATCCAAACAGACGTCTGATGCAAGACAACAAAGGTAAAAGCACTGGCACTTGATGAATTAATATTAGAGAAAAGACTTGTCAGTATGAGTTCTATTATCTTTTTAAATGTATTGTCCCAAATCTTTCTCGAATGTGTGTTCGCTATTATACCAAAATAATTGGCATGCGGTCTGACGTATCATTCACACGCTGACACCCACAAGTAGGAAACTCAACCTCCATGGGAAACGCACTTAACTGACATTTAGGAGCCCTCGGTAGTGAGCCTGGCTCAGGCACTAACCAGCGGTGAGTCCTTAGAGTCCTTCCTTCACCTTTCTGCCACAGAGAATGTAAGGTAGTAAAAGACATGTTTACGTGGAACCTACAGTCTAACTGAGAGAGACGATTAACAGTAAAACACTCAGACCGAAAATCAGGAACACAGGGATCAAACTCAATGACAGGAGAACCATGCAGACAAGAGTGAGGGTCTAGCCCCGGGGAAGCTATTATGGGGGGTAGAAAGTAAGAGAACAAACTTTCCAGGGAAATGTAAGAAACTTAGGGGGAAAAAGTTGGGAAATGTAAGAGGGTTTCACTAAGTTCATGTTGGGAGATTAAACATGGGGATATCTTTAAATATTTAAGGGAGAAAATGTCATCTGCTTTCAAATTACCACTGAAAATGTAACAATTTCCAAGTATTTAGCCCAATTTTAAACAAAACCCATCTGCTGTCCTGTCTAAAAAAATGCAATTGTGCTGAAATAAACAAAATTAATCATCTGATCATTTTTTAGGTGCACAGTTAAGTGGCATTATATTCACACTGTTGTGCAACCAATCACCAAAACCTTCTCATCTTGCAAAGCGGAAACTGTATACTCCTTAAAGAACGCCCCATATCCCTCCCTTTCCAGCCCCTACCTTCTGTTTCTATGAACTTGACGACTCTAGATCTCTCAAGTGGAATCCTACCATATCTGTCTTTTAGGGACTGGCTTATTTCGCTGAGCAGAAAGTCTTACTGTCCTTTCATGTGCTTCATGCTTGATGTCACAGCCTGTGACCAAGTTGTTACCACAGGTCCTCTGCCCTCACATACTAACTTATGTCACATCATATCAAGTAGCTCCTCCAAAAAGCTTTAGTCATTTCCAAAGATGCTGTAGGCATGTCTTCTCCTCTCTCAAACACCAATGACTTAAATCTACACCAAATCCACAATTTTTATGACAAAACTATATGAAAGAAAACTAATAAAACTGATGAACAAATAAGTTTTGCTCTTTCACTATACGCTTTCGAATACTACCAAATCTTCCAAATCGCTTCTCTACAAAGTCATTGCAGCAACTCCAGATAACTGGCAAACCGGTGTTCCCCTTTCCTGGTCACCCCTACTTGCTGGGTAATATTCACTTCACACTTAATATGTCCAGCATATTGTTTTCATTTGACTCTCTTGCAAACTTCCCCACAAAATGCTAAGGCGGGGAAAGTATCACATACTTTTTAAAAAATAAACTTTGAAGTGGTAAGTATAGGAAAAATATCATACTAAGATGTATGATAAATTAACTTCAATAAACCAAAAAGAAACAAGATCAAAACCACCGGAAAACACTAACAACTACTAGCTTTATTGTTGAACATTTACATTTTACAAAAATAATTGAGTATTGAGATGATCCAGGAAGCTTGTTTAAAATCAGTAACTTAAACGTAAAAACAATATTGTTCTGCAGCGCTAAGAGTCTATTAAGACTGAATTGGAGTCAATTAAGTATGCACAGTAAAATTCAAAAGTTAACCACTGTAAGAACAGAAATAGAGAACATAGGTTAATATATCTTCCAAATGGGAAGGGAAAAAGTGAAAACAAAACTTCGATTTTAAAAAAAGGCAAGAAAAAAGATTTTTTAAAAAGGCAAATAAAGTACAAAGTATAAGATGTAGAAAAAGACCAAATCCATTCATTATGAAGAGCCTCCTAAAAGCCAGATACCGTTTTAGGCACTAGGGTTTAGCAGTAAAGGAAACAGAAAAATGCCTGCTTTTATGAAACTTCTATCCTAGTGGGGCGAACATAATAAACCAGATAAATGAACAAATCACATGGCATGTCATGTGATGCTAAGTACATAGACTAGTGCAATGACGACGTAAGGAAAGGTACCTACAGCAAGGCCTCACTGAAAGTATTCAAAACACCAAGAGGCAGTTTAAATGGCTGAACCACGTGGACACACTGGGGAAGAGCATTCCGGGCAGAGTGCAAATATCCTGAGGCTAGAATGTGCTCCAGGAGGCCGCGGAGCAGAGCAAAGGGGAGAATATGACATCAGAGGCAAAGCAGTCGGCAACATATGGGACCTCAGGGGCCACTCTAAACACTCTGGCTTCTACCCTGAGTGAAATGGCTAGCCCTTGGAGGATTTTCTGAAAGGAGGAAGGTAATTTGATTTTTTTTTTTTTTTAAAGAAGGATCACTGTAGATGCTGTGATGCAGCCTGAAGAAAAGAAAAAGCAGACCGGATAAGGGGGTACTGCAGTCATCCAGGTGAGAGGTGACTGTAGCGTGGAAAAGTTAAGGTGGCGAGAAGGGTTTGGGAGTCTGGATAAATTCTGAAGCTGGAGCCCAGAGGATCTGCTGATAGATCACGATGTGCTGCGCAAGGGCTGAGTCAAGGATGACTCCGAAGGTTCTGGCCTGAACGAATATCTCACTAGTGACAATGACCATGTACAATAAACCTGCCCATCGAAAGGCAGAGACTGTTGACTTATAAAAATATATATATATATATCCCCAGAGGTAGGTTGTTTATAAAAGCATACAGAAAGGCTAAAAATTAAAAAGATGAAAAAGGTTGAGAGGTTATCAAATAACAGCGGCCATGGCTGTATTAATGCACGTCAGACAAAAGAGAAATCTGCTCTCTTAACCTCTGACAACTGTCCTGCCCTAACAGTCTGGCATTGGTGAGCCGTCTTCCCAGGGGGACCGTAGTTTCTTTGGGGAAAAGGGTGTCAACAACCTCACTTGGATTCACTCGCAACTTAGGGCAGTCCCAGCCGGTAGTCAGCACTACGTAAAAATTTTAAATATTCTCCACCCACTTAGTTATCTCTCCTTCATCACAAATGTTACGTGATTAAGAAGGACAGGTCTGTTTCTCTAAGGCGACACCAACTCATTGGTCGCCTGTAGCAACACCATCTCTTCCAAAGGGACAAGCGAGTAAGGCGCCTCTGGGAAGCGCAGGGCGGCGCTGCCCACCCTGCTGCGCCCGGTCAGGGGGTAATTTGATGGCACCCACGCACGCGGCACCCACGCACGCGGCACCCGGACACGTGCCCGCCCGCGCGTCTGGGTTCCCACGAAGCCGCAGGGAGCAGGCAACGCCTGGCTCTGGCTACCTGGGAAGTTTCTAAGGAATTTCTAGGAAAGGAAAGAAACACCGAGAGCACAGCAGGGCGGCTGCTTGCCGCAGGCAGCCGGGAACGCAAGCCCCTCGGCTCCCCGGCCCACCGGCGCTCACCTGCCCGCCGCCGGCCGGGTGGTCAGGGCGGCGGCCGCTCGCACGCGCCGACCCGCAACAGAGCTTCCGGCCCCGGCCGGAAGTGCTTCGTGAGGAAGACCGGAAGTCCCGCCTCCGCAAGCGTGAGCGACGGCCGCCGGAGCATAGCCTCGGGTGTCAGCTGGACCTGGTAGCCGGCGGTTTGGTGGGCCTACCGAGACCTGGCCGCTCACCCGCCCTTGTGCTGCCGGAGCGATTCCCCGAGCCTAGAGGACAGAACAACCCGAGGAACGCTCACGTTCCCGTTCACTTGTTATCTCGAAAGCGAGTTACAGAGCCCTGCGTGAAATTCAGCTCCGTGTTTATTGAGTCTACCAGGTAGAAAGCATGTGGTGATCACAGGGAAGAATAGTGATGACGCCTCAAAAACTGGGGGGAGACAATTTAACCAGCTAAAACATAAGGCAGAATGATAAGAGCGATAATAGGAAAAGCAAATTCCGTAGTCATGTCAATTTCTAAGTGACAGTCTCATGTAAATACTTCTGATTTGTTAGGATCAAATGAGATGACGTGTAAGTAAACGTCTAGCAGTGGGGTCTGTCGGGTCCCACTTCTGCCTGGAGGGGCTGAGCCATGTGGATCATTCTGAGGCTCTTCCCATCCAGGTGTAGAGCTTCAAGTACGAGGTTTTCCGATGTAGCATCCCACATTTATTTCAACTTTGTGGAGCCTGCTTCACAGCCCAGGCCTGAACTCTCTTAATTCTTACCTTCACTCCTCCAAATCCTACACTTTCCCTGGCATTTTTTAAAGACTCTCCAATCCCTCTGGTGTGTGGCCTCCCTTGTTCCAGCAAGTTAACAAACCTAACTTTGTTAGACTACAGGTTTGTCTCTGATGGGCTTTATCAGATGGGGTTTGTCCCTGTTTATTTTTGCCAAGCCTGCACGAATGAAGGTTGGAGGACACCTTTAGTCCCATCTTAGAAAAAAACTTAAGCAGAGTAAAGATAAATTATTTGCTAAGTCTTATCTGTGACCTGAAAGGAGCTGTGGGCTTTTTAACATCCAAGTTTTTAGGTTCCTTTTTGGCAGAGAAGGACCAGTTTTTGAAAATTATTGGCATCCACCAAATTCAGACCAGCTTTTCTTTTCTTTGTACAATACTTTCTTCTCTCCACTAAATTGTGACAATACTTGCCCGGTTTTGCCTAGAGTGAACGAATGATCCCTCCCTGCCTTCAGTTTTTTTTTCTTCATATTGATCCTGTGCACTGCTGCTTCAACCGTGTTCATCTCGGTAAAGCGCTTTCTCTGCTCAAGTTTTCCTTAAAAGAGGTCCGTACAACCTGTCTCACTCCTCACCTCCCGCTCACTTTAATCCTTTGCAGCTCGGCCTTCTGGCTCTTTTCCCTCCAATTCTTCCATCACCTTCTCGAATGTCACCAGTGACTTCAAATCACCAAGGTCTCATGTCCCTTGATTTCTCTACAGCATAGGTTGCTAAGGTTAATTATCCCCCTCTGTTAGAAAAATCTTATTTAAACCATTGTGGAAAAAGCTCAAACTTAAAATACTGAATATTTGCAGTGCAATCCACTTTGAGTCTCATCATGCATTAAGTAAATATTTAGTGAGTGCCAGCTCTGCACCAAATACTATTTTTAGGTACTGGCGATATAGCCGTGAAAAAGGGATGCAATGTTCCAGTCCTAGACATATTTATATCCTAAACATATGGGACAGATGATACATAATTTCAGATTATACTAGATGCGATAAAGGAAACTGATGGTGCTATGATTAAGAAGGTACCAACTTAAAGTAGAAAGGCCAGAGTCAAGTAAGATAAAATAGACTTACTAGGTTTTGGAAGATAAATGTCAGTGTCCTTGACAAGACCAGTTTTGGTATAGTAGACTCAGAAGCCAAACAGCTGGGTTAAAGTAGAAAGGAAGTTGAGGGTCAAAGCTAAGTAACTGTTAAGAGATCTTCCAATTGCCATAGTCAATGAACTTTTTGTTTTTTTCCTTTGGACAGGGAGATACAAATCACTTTGGAAATCTTTGGAAAGCTATTCACATACATGCAAATTTTGCATATTCTTGTAGGGAGTTACTTAATCCTTTAAAGCCCATTAATGGACCCCAAAGGTGTCCATGGGTCACGAATTAAGATTCTCTCTTTTCAACGACCTGGTGTCTTCTACCTTCCTGGGTTTCTTATTCCTTCGATTGCTCCCTCGCTGGCACCAGGTCTTGCCTTCTGCTCTTCCCGTGCTACACACTCTCTCAATGACGTCTGCTTTGACTTTTGTTATTGGGACCATGACACTTATTTCAGTAGAGAAGCCCTTTGGTATTGTAGAGTAACTTAAAGGAAGAGTAAGCTCAGAGTTAAGCTGACACAATTTCAGAGGGTTTATTTGATTTCATAGTGTCCGACTGGACATTGTAGGAGTTGAGGCTATGATAATTGTTCACAAGGACATTCAAAAAAGGTTTGTATGAAAAAAAGCAATCGTCTACGGCCACGCTACCCTGAACACACTCGATCCCGTCTGATCTGGGAAGCTAAGCGGGGGCGAGCTTGGTTAGTACTTGAATGGGAGACCACCTAGGAAGACCAGGTGCTGTAGGCGTAAAAACAAACAAACAAATTTCCGCTACCAAAAACATCCCAAACAACTTCTATGTGCACGTCCACACTTTGTCTCCAGCAGCTGTGTTGTACAGAGCCTGCGGCAGCTGCACATGACTCTTAAAGGGGCCATGTCCCCGAGCGGAGTTTCGCGATGACGGACCTGCTCACTCTGAGAACCAGGGCTGGTTTGGCTGCGCGCAGGGGGGCACCAGGGACTTACTGGGGGACACTGAGTTGTCAGAGTGAGGGCCGAGGTAAGACTCGCTCTGTACAGAAGTGCCGGCGGTATCTGTTGTTCCCTGCTGAGCGCCCCTCTTCCCAGTGGGTGGACACAGCGCCACCATTGCCATGACATCATCAAACTGGATAACAGAGGTCGCTCAGCCCAGAGGATTCCCTGAAATGTTGGAGGGACTTCTTTAAGAAAAAACATTTATAAAAAACAGGAATAACGAATGGTAATAACTACATTCCTGTCAAAAAGTACTTTAATGGAAAAGAATTAAGTGCTCCAACTAAAAGACAGAGTGGATGAATGGATAGGAAAACAAGACCCCTACATGTTGCCTACAAGAGACTCACTTCAGATTGAAAGACACACAGAGATTAAAAGGAAGGGAATGGAAAAGGACATTGCTTTGATGGACCCAGAAGGTATTTAAGTCAGAGAAAGAATAGCACTATATGATTTTACTTATATGCAGAATCTAAGGAATAAAAAGAACTAATCAAAAACAGACTCACAAATATAGTGGACAATTTGGTGACGGACAGAGGGGAGGGGGTTAGGGGGCCTGGGAGAATGGGGTGAAGGGTTAAAGAAGTACAAATTAGTAGCTGATGGATGGTCACGGGGATGGGGAGCACGGCCTAGGGAATGCAGTCAGCAGGGATACACTGGCTCCGTGGAGGGTCAGGGGAGGGAGCAATTGGGATCATTTTACGAACTATATAGGTGTCTAACCAATGTACTGTATACTTGAAACTAATTTAAAAAAAAAATAAAAAGAAAAAACATATTAATTCTCTCATTGTAACATTTTAGAATCTTCCAGATCTGTCCTTCCAGCTCCATCACAAGGTGGAGTCAGCCTTTCACTGTGAGCCTCACAGTGACATTTGTGGCACCTTATGACATGCAGCTTTTCCTGTTGGCATGCTGGGTTGTGAAGGTTAATTTTACGTGTTAACTTGGCTAGGCCACGTTGTTTACTGGTGCTTTATTTTGTGCTTGTTTATTGTTGCTTTTAATATTTGAATAAACATTCACATGCTTCAAAAATCAAAAGTAATAAACGGGTGTACAGTGCAAGCCTCTCTTGCTACGCCTTGTTCTCAGAGGGAGCACCAGGTTCAGGTTCAGGACAAAGAACCAAGACAGAACAAGAACCAGAAAAGAACCACAACAGCAAGTACTGTTTAGCCATTTGGTCAGTCTGCTACCAGATGAGTGGACTCCGACAGTTTTCTTCAGTCAACAATCTCCCTTTGACAGCTGGGCAGTGGGAGGAAGGATGAGCGACTTCCTGCCACCCTTGGGCTTCTGTATGGGAAGGCAGGGTACCCTCCTTGGCTGTATACAACTGGGAAGAGGTAATTCACCAAAACGAAATAAGCACGTTATTAGGAAGAATTAGGACCGGGAAACTGCCAATAAACAACAAAGGTGTCCCCTTATAGGTCCCCTTATAGGAGCTTATGCCTTGTTTTATTTTATGTATATAAGTAACAGTGTAACAAAAATAACCTAGGTCAACAGTTGAGGTCCAAGATAACTGTTTTTTTTTTTTTTTTAAAGAGATGGATAGTACATTATTCAAGTTGGAGACACAGTTATAAATCCCCAGTAAATGTTTTCCAGCTGCCTTAATGGAGTTAGCATCTCGCTATCAGAGAACAATTCATCTGTTGGTAATAACAAAAAGACCCTTTACTGAGTCAGTCTTATGCCTTTTAATGGATACTTATTACCTTAGTTAACTAAAGGCCATTATTTAAGCTTTGCTTTTTAAGGTCTCTACTAAATACTTATCTAAAGGCCATTCTCTTACTCATTTTCTATTCAGGTGGACGGTGTGCTTTGTTTCTTTTAGTTACATCGTTACTATTGTTATTATAAAGGCATTCTGATTTGGAAACAATGTCTTCAGCAAGTTAATTCAACCTAGAGCAGATTTAATGGGTGGCAGGGGAACATTTTAGAAACAAGTATATTAGTACAGGCATGAAAGTTGGAAAATGTCTTTAGGTGAGAATGAAACAGGCAGGCTCAGGTGAAGTAAAGGGATATTGGGAGATAAGATGGGAAGCGGATTATAGCTTTGACAGTGAAGTTCAAGTATCTGTCCTGTAAGGAAATAATTTTTGAACAGTGGCATGAAATGAAAGCATATAATTAAGGTTAATTTGCTAATTGGGGCAACCTGGGCTGAAGAAGAGACAGGATTTCAGGAATACAAAGGACATTAATTATCCATACAGGCTTTGATGGTATTCCAAGCCAGGAGGAAATAATTTTTTCTTTCTTGCAGAAATCACTAGCTAAATGATATTCCTGTGAGCCATGATATAACAGAGTGAACTCCAATAAATTCTTCTAACAACTTCCTCATTAAATTGATAGCCATAAGGTGATTTTGGTCTCAATAAATTGAGAATTTCTCTTAATATTTACTTATTTAGGCGAGGCAACCCTCGGTTGACCTCACAGATTACAAGGACCTTGTCAGTTTACAATCTATTATTATTATTTTTTAAAATTTTTTATGCCTATCTCCCATCCAAGTACTAACCAGGCCTGGCCCTGCTTAGCTTCCGAGATCAGACGGCATCCGGCTTGTTCAGGGTGGCGTGGCCACATACAGAATTTCTCTTAACACTAATGACCTTCTTCACGGTGCTGAATCCTCTCTTAGCTTTCTCTAAACTATCAGCAACTATATTCAATGTTTTTCTAAGCCATATAATACTGTCTATAATTACATATATTTTATATCTTTAGTGCTAAGTCACACAGTGAATGCTATAATTTAATATTTATCTTCAATCTAGAGCTTTGTGGACCTAAAGTGGCCAAGTTTAGGATTACATACATTTAACACCCTTAACAAATTGTTATTTCACTTGTTACCAAACCACAAAAGCGTTTTCATAAAACTTGCTAGAGAATCTGTTTGTCTCTTGGAATTGCTACTTTGTTTCATTTTCAGTTTCCTTTAGTTTTACGTGTCTAATTTTTTATAGTTAATTGATTTTATCTGACAGCTTTAAGACATCATTTTTCTTATAAAATATTAACACGTTAGAATATCATTGATTAAAGCTAAAAATCTTTAAATTTTTTCCTTTTCAAATGTTTATTCCCATTTTGCAATCTCTATTAAGTGACCGTGCAAGTTTTGGTAAGACTTAAACCTACTTTCACAGACTTCCATCAGTACCGTCTCCCCCACTGGGTCCAAATAGATTCCATTATTCATTATACCAATTCTCAGAGATTCAGATATATTTTTTTTATGTACAGTAACAAAAGTAATTCAAAGATGATAAAATGGCCATTCTCCTAAAGCATAGAGTGCTTTATAAAGAATGTACGTGAGTTATTGGTACCAATGTTTCCAGGATGTCTTTATGAAAAGATGCCCATTAAGCAATGGTCATGAAATATTCTACACAATTAACTTGAACTAATGGGTTATTAAATTTTACATTGCTAATGTTATTGCTTATTGCACTATTGTATATTTTTAACAACCAGTACAGAATACAATAAAATTATGCTATATACTACTTATAAGGTCCAATGTATCGAATCACATAAAATGTGAGATTGCATTATTACATGATTAATGAAATACCAGAGGAAATCTGCAGTTAGCCAACTGGAAGTGGTAGAAGTTGCAGAGCCAGATGACAATTGCGTTATACATGAATTTCCATTGTTTTGGTGTCCATTATCATCAGTCTTTTTCTGTATTTCGGCCACGAAGTATCAGCTCTTCATTGTATAGCAGTAAAGCCTGTTCTCAATGAACAGGGAAAATGGAAACTAGGCGACAGGTAAGAGACATCTCAAAGGACAAAACTATATGACCTGGGAGGACTGGATAGATATAGGAGGCAGGGGTAAAAAAATCACACATTCCTGGATCACTTAAACAGTGAGGACGCTGATAGGAAAGGCTGGGGGAGAATGGTTTCTTACCACTATCTGGATTGGTAGAGGGATGGGACGGAAGGTGTACGTTGGTTTTAATTACATTATTTCAAGGTGACAACAGAAAACTCAGGTGAATAGGCAGTTATAGATACAGAATCTGAATTTGAGGAAGCCGGTCTTTTGATATAATGGTAATTACAGACAGAACTGGGAGAGTAAAGAGTCTAAGAATGCTTTCAGAATGGAAGAGAATGCTGAATAAGAATTGTTAAAGAATGAGAGATAGAAGAACCACATTAACATAAAAGCTAACATTTGAAGTTTATGATCTTTTTACATTACATATTAAATGAAACCCTTGAGAGGTGGGAGATTAGTTTCAAGTAAATTTATTCATTCATACATATTTAAGTGCTACTGGGAATATCAGGCTGAATAAGTCAGTTCTTGTCCTTAATGATTTTCCAATCCGATGGGAGAGGCAGACAAGTAAACAAGTAATTAGGGGCCCTGGTTCCAGCACTAAGAATACTGTTTAATAATTGGCTATTTACTTACCAGTCTCTATTACAGAAAAAGCACATTAGGTTAAGGGATAGTATCTAACACTCGTACAGCTCCAAAGCCTAGCAAAGGATCTAGCACACAGGCACAAATATGAGAGTAGACTGTCTCAGCAGTGATGAGCATTCTATCAAGGCAGAGCATAAGGTGTGTGGGAGAGGAAAGCGTTAGGAAATATGGCTAGTCAAGGTAGGCTGGGGCTCCGCTTTTGGAAAACTTTATACAGTATGCCAAGGAATTTACAGGTGGCCTTATTGGGGATGCAAAGAAAATTTAAAACATGAGAATGACAATCAGATTTGTGCTTTGAAAGACAACTTTGGTTGGCGTGTGAAGGATAGATTGGAGTGGGGAGAAATTATAGAAAGGAAACTGTTATTACAATAGGCTAGTGCTTTCCAAAGTTTTAAACACGTTTAAGTGCGCATATGGAATGGGAGGCCAACTGTGTAAGAGCAAAGTGCTTTGTCCCATATTCAAAGTCCTGGCTCCGCTCATTAAACGCTTAAAGGAAAAACGGAAAACATCTGGTACCAAATAGGTACTTTGTAAACGTACATTTCCTTTCCCTCGGTCCGCTGATATCAAGACCCAACGGATAAATCCTGAAGATGTAAAGCAGGGGATGAAATTCGTCCCCAAGAGGCAGAAAGGAAGGAAAACCAAGAATGGGAGAGTTTGTTTGGCCTAGAGCAGGACAAACTTTTCATGATGAAAGGCAGACTATGTGAAGACAGACCTAGAGGGGAGGACATTTAGAAGAGTTTACATTTCCTGGGAGAAGAGTGGAGAAGCAGCGGGAGACTTTAGATTGACAAATTTTTAATCTCCATCAGAATTAGATGACAAACAAAAGGGCTACTGAGGCTGTAATACATTAACCTGCAATGGCTACAATAGTTTTGAAAATATTTCCCAGCAGCACTCAGCAACATGGGAGAAACAAAGAATGTGTTCGGCTGGATTCATCTAGGATTGGGAACTGGCAGGATGAGAGGGGTCAGAGAAGAGAATGATCTGAGAAAGTTCTCGAAAGGCTCCCTGAAGTGAAGGATACAGGGTACAGGTTAGAAGGAAACAAAGTCGAGTTAGGTCGTTGATAGAGTGGACCAGAGATGATTTAGTCTTGCTGACGTCAGAAAGTATTTTATGGCAACACAAACGGACTTCATTCTTTTGATTTTTGCAAATAAATAATATTTTTTATTAAGCATCACAGACTAGAAACTGTGAAAATAAATGTTTTAAAATTATATGTCTTCAGAATGACAAAATCCAATTCTTACTTGGGTTACCACAGGATATTCCTTTATGCAGAACAAAAATGACTGTACTGAAACCTAAGTAGGTACATTAATACCAAGTGGTCCCCAACCTTTTTGGCGCCAGGGACCGGTGCTCCTATGAGAATCTAATGCCTGATGATCTGAGGTGGAGCTGAGGCGGTGACGCTAGCGCTGGGGAGCAGCTGCAAAAACAGTTTTGTCTGCTGCTCACCTCCTGCCCTGTGGCCCAGTTCCTAACAGGCCACTGACCTGGTAAGGACCCAGGGGGTTGGGGATTCCTACATTAAACTACTCATTATATTCTGGTTTTCTTCTGTATTAACTGTGACTGCAGTTCAAGTGAAAAGAATGGATTTTTGATTATTCAGTAGATAAAATGATTCTTTATAAGTCCCCAATTCAATGTTCAGCATTCATCACTGACCTTTAAAGGCAAGATAAAAATGACAAAAGAATCATGAATAGCACCAGGCTGAAATTAAATTCATCAGATAAGAAATAATCTACTTAAGCGGTCTTTATCTTAAAAGTAACATTTTGTCTACATAGTTAGCGTTAGATCGTTTTTGAGTAATCATTAAGCTTTTTTTTCTAAGTTATGGGTCCACAAGCACAAAATTCAAATTCCCATAATGTAGCACAAATACTCTTGTATTAATTAAAATGGAAGATTCAAATTATCTTAAGGATTAGTAAAGGCATACCTGACTTTTCAAAAAGGTTTACATTGAGTGCTTTGGTGAAAATTTCTCATACAAGAACTGGTGATTAGATCTCAGATAACATCCTATAGGAACCAATCGAGGAAAACACAATGTTTCCGAGAAATATAAACTTTCATTTTGTGATGGCAGTAACACTTCCACACAGGATTCATGATTTTTTTCCGACCTTTTTTGGACCACAGAAGGCTTGGGTGGGGTGGGGGGGCTGGAAATTACACAAAAGGAATGGTGAGGGTTAAGGCCCTATAAAGCTAATGTTAGTGCCTAATAGCGTAGCCTTCAGGCACTAGCTCTCAGGTTCACACTTTTCTTCCCTTTAATGGTAGAGATTAAAGATGTCTACTTCCCTTCCCGTTCAAGTACCAACTGCCTTGGGGGAGGGCAGTGGGCCTGGGAAGGAAAAAAAAAACCCACTTCCCCCTGCTTTCTACATGAAGTGAGCCAACAGCTTTTATAATTCTTACTACTATTGATGGGAAAATATACAAAGGTTTTAAGGCTCCTTCTTAAAATACTTTCCCATGTACTTTCCTAAATGGAAAGACACTGCTATTTTCAGATACTAACCAGTTTTGGGGCACCAGTTACACTAGGAAGAAAAAAGAAAGAATTGGGGCTAGTATGTAAAGGAGACTCCTCGGTTAAAGAGCAGAATTTGCCTGGCAGGAAGAAAGGGGAAAGGAAGGGGGTAAGAAAAAGGACGCGCATGCTTACTGTTTGTCACTGTCAGCCCGCTCACGGGAGACTTCAGCGAGGGCGTTTCCGGGGAGGAGACAGATATTCTTCTACGCAGCAACATTTAGGAAGGAGGCTCTGTGGTCTTCGAGCTAGCTAGCGAACAGAAAGTGGCCTGAAGTGGTGCCTCGCTTGGAACTGGGGTAGATGAATTGGGAGCTGCCCATATTTCAGTTAGGAAGAATCTGGATAAAAGTTCCTGGAAGCTGAAGTCTCTTTTTTGACAGGAACATTCACGGCAGAGTAGGCCACAAGGACCCAATACAGCACATTCTGACGTTCAAATTAGGCCTAATTAAATGCAGCTCCTTTTGACTCTGTTTGATGATGATTACCTGTAGAGAGTGGTTCTGAATTGCGACCACCTCACCTACATCACCCCTAGTCACTCAGTTTTGAGACAAACACCTAGGTCCAAATTTTTAAAAAGGTAGACTAAAAGACACACTGCCCGCCCCCCCCCAAATCAACTAAAATAAGCTATCAGGCCTAATCTAGAATGACTTAATGTATTATTCATTCTCTGCTTTGAACATTTGACTTAAGTACTTTATTAGAGCTATTAGCTCAGGGTTCCCACCAAGTGCATCAATTTGTTTATAGGCTTTAGATTCAAGCTCTTCAAGAGTATTTCGAGTGTATTCAAAAGAACCTACGTTCTCGAGATAATATACACAGTATTTTTTAACATCTATGTTTTCGGTTCTCTGGCGCAAGATATTCTGCACCTGGGTGCTTTCCGGCCTTGACCAAATAGCATGAATAGTAGGGAATGAGAACTTTCCCTCTGTTAGATCTTCACAAAAGCTTTTGTTTTCACTGTACTCTTTGGAGTGTAGATTAGCATAATCATCTCTAATTTGGAAAAAGAGCCCAAGTGTATCAAGTAGTGGCTTTAAATCACTTCTGTAATCAGAAAACAACTGCATGAGACCTACTGCTAATCCAAAGAGTCCACCGGTCTTCTGCAGAACCATAGCTTTATATTCCTCTTCAGTGGGACAAATATAGTTATCCCTCCAATAAATATCTAGGCACTGGCCCTGATGGAGTTCCAAAAGCTGGCGGGTAAAGATCTTTACTGCTTCTGGGTGATCAAGGGTTAAGACTTTCTCTAGGCCAAGAAAATATATGTAATTGGCAGAATTGATGACAGATGGAATTCCATAGATGCTGTGTGCCACTGGAAAGCCACGTCGGAGTTTTGAGTTGTCTTCAATATCATCGATGAGTAAACTGGCGTTATGCAACATTTCCGTCACTTCAATGATAATCTAACAAAAAAGGCGATTGAAAAATTTTTTTCGTATTTTAACTATCCAAAACAGCTTATAAATATCTAATTATATTAACAGATTACAAGGGTTCTCAGGTTTCTAAGTTTTTAAAACTAATAATTATTTAGCAACTCCAATATAAAACAGTATATTGCATGAGCATTAAATGGAAGTAAGAGCTAGGAGTATTTTTACGTGACACATTAATTTCTTGGGGTTAAGAACAAGGTTATAATTGCCTAAATACCTGTAGCTTGTCTTCTGGAACTTTCAGCCAATGATTAAATGCCTGTGAAAGTTTGGTTCTCACTTGTTTACCTGCAATTAAAGAATAAAACTTGGCAATAAATTAATTAACATCTTAATTATAAAAAACACATTCAGAAACTTCCCCTAAAATGGATCAGACTTGATAAATCCAGCGCCATCAATCCATTATCCACTGCAGAGCCTGTGTCTTCTCCTGCTGGGCCCCTACTGGCTCCTTCTGTCGAAATTCACATTCTAAAACCTACAACCTTAAAATCAGGGCAGGAAAGAGACATTCTAAAGTTGCAGTGGCCCGCTAGCAAGCCCACTACTTTAATTTTAACTTTTATCAACGATTTTGGAATGGAATGAAAGTTTTAGAAATTTTGGTCTAATTCATTCCTTTTTTGAAAAGGAAGCCCGTCTAGTTAGCAGCAGTTAATTAGCACTGTCCATTTCAGAGAAGATATTCAGAGAACACTAGGTATTTCTAATGAAATGTACTTTGCTATTGAACTACCTCTTAAAATTATCCACCACCGTCTATGGCCATGCCACCCTCAGCAAGCCTGATCCCCTCTGATCTCGGAAGTTAAACAGGGTCAAGCCTGGTTAGTACTTGGATGGGAGACCACCTAGGAAGACCAGGTGCTGTAGGTGTTAAAAAGATAAAAATGTTCTATATGTTTCCTGCATGCACAGTAACATCCTAATTTTAGGTTTCAGGAAAATAGTTACATAAAAGTTTTAGTGAACAAAAACAGTATTCTAAGTCCTATCTATGTTTTCTTTATACCGATCACTCGGACAAATGAATATACAAACTGGACCATACTGACAATGCAAAACTGTGCAAAGTGACCCATACTGCTTTAGCAAACAAGTTTAGGAGACAAAGAACACAGACAATCCAGGTTGAGCCACATTTTCCTTCTACTTCAGAATGTACATAGAAAACAGACAACGGTTTAACGTAAAAGTACCACAGTTTTAATATTTTTTTCCTCTGACCAGATTCTAGGGTCTGGCTTGATATTTTTAAGCCCTCAAATCGTTTCCAATAGGCACTAGTCACAGAGATCCCTCAAAATTAACACAATTACTATTTCCCTTTTAAAATCTTAACATTATCAACTCTCTGTAGCCTAGCTTCTCCACTCCCAACTCCACCCTCCACCTCCCACTGCAAAGGCTTGGGGCCCTGCACTAGGGCAAAAAAGCAAACATAAATAAAAGTCATTCTATTTCATTCATTTCAGAAAATTCTAATACCAACAATTATTTATGATTATAACCTTTTATAAGCAAGAGTAACAATAAATGGTCTGGTCCACCTTTAAATCATTTTAGTAACACTGAAAAATAGGTTTATTATGCATAATGCAATTTCCTATTTAGGGAAATCCTTTGAGATTATATTTTGTCAAGGATGCAACAATATATTCAGTTAAAAAAGGTGAGATACCCAATGAGTTTTAAATATGTAATCTAATGGCTTAAAATATTACTTTTAGATAATGAGGACTAAAAGAATTGTTACAGAGTAAGTTAATTTCATAGGTAACCATTGTGGTTAAAATGTAATGATAGGCAGTCCTGGCTTTGCAGAGTGGCAGAGTCTCTGGAACGGGAGATACTTTAGACTCTTGCCAGTACTGATAACTGGCGTGTTTTATGGCAGCCCATTTCCAGCCAGTGTTTGCCAACGGGTTACAAAGCAGTGCAGCGACACATGGGCAGAGTGTGGAAGAAAGTGTCATGTTTCTCAGTGGAAGACCCTAGTAGCCTAAGAACTGCAGTGTGTGCGTTCATAGTAGAAAACATGAACGTGGAAAGTAAGTGAAGGTTTTCGTTACTGTACAAATTGGCACAGATTTCCCTGACAGCTATGCAATAGGGAACAGGAATGTGTGGCATCCGTAAAGAATAAAACCTCCAACGAGGTAATCAAACGTTTTAAGTATTTTATTTTTTAAGTATGTTACATAATGGTATGTTTTTTAAAGGGTATCTCAAAATTGTTCCTTTTAAGAACAAAGAATTATAAAGTTCTATTTATCATTTTTCTCATAGGTTATCACCTTAAATGGAAAATGTATGTAGAAAACAGACAACGACTTAACTTACAGGTGCTGCAGTTTTAATACTTTTTTCCTCTGACTAGATTCTAAGGTCTGGCTTGATACTTTTAAGTGCCCAAATAGTTTCTAAGAGGCACTAGTCTCAAGAGCTGGCAAGTTTAACCTCTGTATGCTAACGTTTGCATGACCAATACTCTAAAAATGACCCTATACGTATTTAGTTACTGAAGTACTACCTGGTAATTGAAGTAAGTACTTGTAGGGTTCTAAAAGAATTCTTTGGGCTGTTTTTTGAGTCTTCTCCATTGTGTCTGAATTTCAAAGCCGATCTGTTAAAAAAGAGAAACAAATATGCTCTCATTAACGAAATTATCTTCGAGTGTCAAACTGCAAAGAAATTTGTGTCTCAAGATGTTTTTGTAAAGGTAGACTTTGTTTCATTTTTAAGGAAAATTCTACATGTATGAATCTTGAAAACATTACGGCGAGAAGCCAGTCACAAAAGACCACGTATCGTATGATACCATTTATATGAGATGTTCAGTAGAGGCAAATCTACAGAGATAGAAAGTAGATTAATGATTGCCTAGGATTGGGGTAGGGAGAATGAGGAGTGACTGCTAATGAGTATGGAGTTTCTTTTTGGAGGCACCAAAATGTTCTAAAATTAGGTCGTGGTGATGCCTGCGAACCCTGTCAGTATACTAAAACCTGTCAAATTGTATACTTTCAATGAGTGAACTATATGATACGAAAATTATATCTCATTAAAAAAAGTTTGATCAAGTGATTGGCCAAAGTATTCACCTGGATTTTAAGTTACAAAATTTATATTAAGCCTTTGCTATTTATTCAACCATAAAAGGCTTAAATCGTTGACATCAAATCAATGTTAAATCCACAGAATTAGATCATTATATATCTGACTGATTACATATATCAGTAAACGTACTTTTTTTCCTGTAACTGTTAAGACAAATTAGCATGTTTTATATATTTAAAATTTAGGGGAAAACGCTCCTGCATTTTCTCTATAATCGACCCATTTCAGAGATTCTGATTTAAGACATTCATTTACTTGAATGCGATCGTCATTAAAAATATTCTCTTAAAGCCTGTGAGATTTTGCGTCCCCCCACTGCTCATACTTTACAAGTTCCCCTTTGACACAAGACTTTCCAACATGTTATTCTGTCTGGAAGGCTGTTTCCTTAGTTAACTCCTGCCACCCCTTCAACTCTCGGGTCGATCCTCATTTGCTCGGGAAAGCCTTCCGTTAGCTTCCTACGCCAAATTCCCTACCTGTGATTCTATCACCTTGTAACTCCTTTGTAGCACTCACCGCTGTTGCAATTTCATACGCGCTTGCGTGTCCACTTTATTTAATACCCATCTGTCTCACTAGGCTTAGAGGTCTACTAAGGCAGGAGCCGTACCAATTCTTCCCCGTGGTAGGATCTCAATAAATACGTGAAGAACCGACCGAAAAACGGAAAGTGCCTTCTAACGTGTTAGGTGAGAACATCAGAGGAACGGTCTGGTTTCGGAGCGGCTATCTAGAGACATATAAATAGAAGCGCAGCTGTAAAGTGCAGTTTACCCTTCGACTCAAACTCCGGGAGATGACGGGTCTGGAGAAAACTGCCTGAGAGATGCCTCCAGGGTCGTCTCTGTCGGCAGAGCCGCAGGGTCCACGAAGCTCCCGCTTCCTCTCGGCTCAGACTCCCCCTTCCGCCCCGCTCGGTCCCCTACCTCCCTG